CATGTCTGTAATCCCACCACTTAGCAGGAGGATAATGGACTCCAGGCTAGCCTAATCTATATAATAAACCTTAAAAAAAAAGAAAGAAAGAAATCTGGCTCCTGATGGGAGATGTCATTCTGTAAATATGTTTCTCATATTGGTTAATGAATAAAGCACTGTTGGCCAATAGGAAAGGAAGATCGGCGGGACTAGGAGACAAGGAGGAAAGAGGAAGTAGTAAGGAGGAGTCAGCATGGGGAGACTGGAGAGAGCAGAACACCGGCGGCCTCTCTCCAGTAAGTAAGACCATGTGGAAGTACTTAAATGAATAGAAATGGGTTAATACTTAAGACAGAGCTAGCCAATAAGAAACTAGTACCTGGCCAGCAGCATTATATCAAATGTAGAGTCTTGTGTTAATTGAGGCTGGTGTGGCAGGACAAGGCCAGCTGCAGGAGGAAAAACCTTACTCCATACAGGCTCCTACCAACTTTGTCTCTCCCACGTTTCCCTGGGTCCACCCAGCTTCAGATACACTGGTTCCTTTCTCTCTATACAGTTCTAAATTCTGACTTGTCATGAAATCTCTCTTCCCTAAAATATAATTACCGAGTCTCTTCAGAAAATGAACCCATTCTCATTTTTAGCTCTCAGCTTAAAGTTCTCCATATCAGCAAGGGAATCTCTCCATCAGGGTTTCATCTCAACCCAACATTGTCCTGATTCTTTCTGCTCTGGGGTATCTATCACTAAAAATAGCATTAAATCCATAACTATTTTGATTACTGTTTCTTCCACTTAAAAAAAAATAAATAAAAGAAGAAGGCAAGGGGTCAAGCCCAGGCTGGAGAATCAGCTGACCTGAACAAGGGGGAAACTAATGGGCCTCCAGACTGATAGCTGGGAAACCAGCATAGGACTGACCCAGACCCCCTGAACATGGGTGTTAGGAGGACTGGGAAGTCTATGGGGCCTCTGGTGGTGGATCAGTATTTATCCCTAGTATACAAATGGTTTTGGGGGGCCCATTCCACACAGAGTATCAGCCTAGACACATGGGGGAGGGCCTAGGCCCTGCTCCAAATAATATGACAGACTTTGAAGGTCCCCTATGGGAGGCCTCACCCTCCCTGGGGAGCAGAAAGGGGATGAGATGGGGATTGGGAGGGGGGCAGGGAAGGAGGGCAGAGTGAGGGAACTGGGGTCCATATGTAAACCAAGCTTGTTTCAAATTAAAAAAAGGTATTAAAAAATAAAAAGAAAAAAGGAAAAAGAAGGCAAGTGATGGCCCATAGCAGCCATTTTAGTTTTCTACAGCCCATGACCTAAGGATAGATATTACATATTAGTGTTACAGAAAAACTTTTTTGAAGAATATTTCATGACCTGTGCAATATGAAATTTTAATTTCACTTTCTATATAACACCGGACTGCAATAACATTCATTTTTTCATCGTCTATGTCTGCTTTCAAACCACATTAGCAGAGTTGATCAGGTATACTAAAGTGCTTAAAGTACTTTCAGAATTTTTTTTTCTGCCATGATTGGTGATGCAAACCTATGTATGTATCTATGTGGACATGGCAAGAGAAGAAAGCCTCACTTTGAATGTGGCGACATTATTCCATGGGTTGGGTCCCCTGGTAGATATAATAAAAGAGTAAAATAAAAGAGTAAAGGGAAAACCAGCAGATCAACCTTTGTTTTCCCATCCCATGATGGGAACTGTTCTGCCCCGCCACATGGTCCCTGCCGTGATGAGCTGACACCTTTGAAAGTCAGCCAAAATTGCGCCCTCCCCCCTGTTGTTTCTATCAGGCGTTGGTTGTCGTGATGAACTGTACTAGAATGTAAACTAGTGACACTGTCATGACCAGTGTTCCATTCTCAGTGTCTGGTCCCTACCCTGTGAGAAATCACAACAGCTTGAACAGACCTTCCCTGTCTCCCAGCAGCCTTCCTAAGCAGAATTGAAGATCTCAGTCTGGACGCTGTGGAGTGCCCGGCAAACATGACTGTCCCATTAATTTGAAACACCTTGTTCCTTGCCCAAAAGGGTGCAGTTGGAAGATGAAAGGTCTTTTGTGGAGTTTATTAAGAAAAACAAATTAAATAGTTCTGCAAGTGCGAGGATGTTGAATGGATGGTTGTTCCCCCTCCTCAGTTTTCCTTTCTGTAACAATAAAACTACCGTCTTATTCTGATGTATGAAATTTCCAAAGATCTAATAAAAAATATTTCTAAAAACCAACTACCACCTTTCACAGTTGTCACAGACTAAATTAAAGAATACTGTGTAGAAAAGCTTTGTAAGCCACAAACTCTGCAAACGGATATTCCCAAGTTACACATTTAGGACCTGAGTAGCTTTTCTCCTGGACTGACACCCTTTTCCCTGACAGGAGGACCTAAGAGGTCCCAGAAGGCTCTTGGGGGCGTGGCCATCGCCGTCTGGGGGGCGTGGCGTAGCCGGGGCGAGGCCTCCTTCCCCTTTCGACGCACTGCGCGTCGGGGCCGCACGGGGGCGCCGCGGGGTCGCTCCGCTCCACTAGTCGCGGAGCATCCGACTGGGCGCCGGCTTACTTCCGCGTCCGGCCCCGCGGCGTCGGGCGGCTGCGCCGAGGGCCGGGCGGCCGCAGGTCAGTAGGCGGTCGTCGCTCCGCCCGCCCGTGCGGAGGAGCCGGGCGCCGGGTGGGTGGCGGGCCCGAAGCCTTGGGGGTGTCCCGAGGGAGGCCCGGCCGCTCTGATGACACGGGCGCCTCGGAACGCAGGCGCCTGCGTGGACCGAATTAGGGTCTGCCGGCCCAGAAAGACCCCGGCCGGGCCTTGTGGTCCCCGCGCGGCCGCTCGCCCGCCCTTCCGGGTTTTGTCCGGCTGGGGCGGAGGGGTGTAAGCCCCTTGAACTGTTATCCCCAAAGTGTAGTCCCGGCACGCCGATCCCCGCCTCTCAGACTCCCGAATCAGAGCCAGCTGTGGCCGGGGAGTCTGCCTTCTCAGCAGACATCCTCGACGGTTTGTGCAGATGGCCGGGAGGGAACCCTGCCTTCACACAACATGAGGCCTCAGTGGGTGCATCTGAGTGCCATCACAGGGGCTGGCTTTGTGCTGGGGTCCCCAGATGGCAGCGGATGTGAGTGATGGGCCTACATCAGGAGCCCTAGAGGTGGAACTGTGTTAAACGGGGATGGTCTGTGGGTGCGTTCATGACTACCTGAAGCTAGTTGGTCCTTCAGGTTTGCCTGGCTGCCCTAGGTTATGATGGGATCCAATACTCACTAACAGGCAAGTTTGAGTGCACATGGCACACACCGGTGGCCACCCCCCCCCAATGTTCTCATCTGTCAAGTAGGGACAGTATCTTGTATGATAAAGTTTTTCTGTGAATAAGGTAACGTCTGTCTAGTTCTCTTCACAGTGTGGGGTACACAGTAAGCATTCAGTAAATGGGAATTGCTGAGAATGACACAGCCCTTGCTTTTCTTGAGCTTATGGGGGCAAAAGAAAAAAAAATAAGTAGAGATTAAACACATGGGATAAAAATCTGTATAAGAGTTTGTGCAAGGATTCTAATTCTGCACGGAAAGATCTTGCAAGAAATAGGGCTTATTTAGGAACATGAAAAATAGAACTCCAGGGAACAGGTAACTTCGGACAGTGGACCTTCTCCCTATGCCTCATGGTTGACTGGAGTGCTATTCCAGGTCTTTGAGGCAGCAACAGGCCGCCACATCAGTAGGTGGTTTTGGAAAACTGAGTCTTGTTGGATTCCTAATAGTGTTTGTCTGTTGTCCTTCCTCAGATTCTAATGGTGAAGCTGGTGCCTCCGGGGAAGGATTTCAGTTGATGAGTTAGTAAAACTGAATTGGTGCTGATATAGTTAAGTTTGGCAGTCCTTTAAGATTTGCTATGAAAATTTAGATACTGCAGGTTCTCAGTGGCGAGAGTGCATGTTTCCAGCCCATTTCAGATTTTGTTGAGAACCATAGTCATTCGTTAACCAGATTCAGTATGGACAAACAAACAAAATTCCCCAAAGCTTTGGCCATTTTAGAATGAAAGAGCTGGATGACCGACAAGCTGTCATCATAGGTCTAGAGCAACCTGGCTCCCTGTATAAATACAACTCATTTTTGGACATTTTGTTTATTTTTGTGCTTGTGGGTATTTTGCCTGTGTCTATATCTGTCTGTGTGCCATGTACACACAGTGACCACAGAGGCCAGAGAAGGGTATCAGATCCCCTGAAACTGGGGTTGCAGACAGTTGTAAGCCATATGGTGCTGGGGATTGAACCTAGAGCTTCTGTAAGAATAGCCCTGTGCTCTCAACCATGGGCCATCCCTCTAGCTCTTGATATCAATAAAATTCTGAGCCCAGTTAATAAGTGATATATTGCTCAGTTGTATAATGAACTACAGTTTAAGGATTACAGTTATCGGCAGTTAATGCTCTGTTTCCTTAATCTCCAAAGTTTGTCTCAAGTTCCTCAGTGTATACTTTATGGGAATTTTTGTGTTATCATGTGTAATTTGTCATTTGCTGTATACTTAGTCTGTGCCACATGCATTTTCTGTGTCACCCTAATTACTACTCTAGAGATCTTTGGACCATTGCTGCCTCCATTTTATAGATAAGACAGCAAGAAAATGAAGCGAAGTGATTTACCCAGAACCCAGTGATTGTAATTGGTAAAGCCCTGTGGCTCCCTGTGTTACACACTGATCTCTTTAGTCTAGATGGTTCCTTCAGACTTGTTAAAAAAACATACATCAGTGCCTAAGATCATGAGCATGTCTTGCCTTTGCTGTACATGTGCCTGATTATGCATTATCTTGTATAATTCTTTAGTCATTTTACCCACTGTGCTTTGTAATTCCTGGATATTTATAAATCTTCAGACACAATTTTTCCCAGCTTAGCATATTGCAGATATCTTTCATATCACACAAAATATAATATTAAAATGTGTTTATCTTATACATTTATTTTCAGCAGGGTCAGTGATATTTGTCCTTTGTTTTTACAGAGGTCTGGGACGTTGATTGTTTCAGAGTTTCTGAAAGTTTATGGGAAAACTCCAGGAGTCCAAGGGAACGATGGCAGACCACAGAGCAGAAGACTTGCTAGACATTCTTCGGCTGAATGTGGGTGGCTGCATTTACACAGCCCGGCGAGAATCTCTGTGCCGCTTTAAGGACTCTATGCTGGCATCCATGTTTAGTGGGCGTTTCCCTCTAAAAACAGATGAATCCGGTAAATGTCTGAAGTCTGGAGCATGAATGTGAATCTTCATTCAAGTGGGGATCTATTTTAAATTCCCTTTGATTTTCTTTATTGCGGTGGAACGTATTATATTAGCTTACTCATTACTGAGCTCATTAGGACTGTATGGAGATTCATTAGTACATAGAAAAATTAAGTCGCATTTTCTAAAGTTTGTGGTGCTGCTCCTGTATGTTGACAAAGAAGTGAGATGGTGTAAAGGCCAATCATGACCTGATTATGGGATTACTATGTTTTGAAAGTTGTTACTTTCATGTGACTGGGGCTGACTATATACAAGCTTCTCTTGGTGTTCTTCAAAGGAAGAAAGTATTTCCCCCAGAGAAGCGGCTATAAATGACAGAGCAGCTATGGTAGAGTCAGTGTTGCCATGTGCTTTTGTGTGAGCTAGTGTGCATGGTTGAAAAATGGAGAGTTCAGATTGTGGGGCATTCAGTAGCAGAGAACCGAAAGTGATGACTCTGCACAATTGTCTTGGAACTCTTTTTTTAGGGGCGTGTATTATTGACCGTGATGGACAGCTATTTAAATACATTTTGGATTATCTCCATGGAGAAGTTCAGATCCCCTCGGATGAGCAGACCCGAACCGCCTTGCAGGAAGAAGCCGATTATTTTGGCATCCCTTATCCTTACAGCTTGTCTGACCACTTGGCCAATGAAATGGAGACATATTCTTTAAGGTCAAATATAGAACTTAAAAAGGTCTTGGCATTTTCTCAAGTTTTAAAATCCATATTTATTATGCACAAAGCAGTATGTTATTTTGCATAGTTTGTGATGTCACATATACCAAGCATGAGGCAGTTTATAATAATTTTTGAACATGTTTCTTAAATTATTCTTACTCATATTTAAAGGCCAAAGTTAATTCTAGGGAAAAAAAGCTTCATTATGTTTATGTAAATCTCTGAAGATGGAACACTTTTGATTCTTTTTAATAGACCTATTCTTCTGAAATTACTGTTTTTATTTAGAGACAAGGTCTCATTATGTAGCCTTGGCTGGCCTAGAACTGGTTTTGTAGACCAGACTGGCCTTGAACTCACAGAGATCCATCTGCCTCTGCTTCCTGAGTGCTGGGATAAAAGGTACACACCTCTACACTTGGTTTCTGAAGTGCTTTTCAAATTAGAGAAATGCTTTCATTAATGAGGGTGTGTTAGGTACACACCTCTACACTTGGTTTCTGAAGTGCTTTTCAAATTAGAGAAATGCTTTCATTAATGAGGGTGTGATAGTATTTTATTTACTAAGGTAACTTGTTTTTTAAAAGAATTGTTCTGCTAAATTATTATTTACTCTTACTTGACTTAGTGAGTGTAGCAGTTTGTTAAGTTAAGAGACATGCTGCGTTCACTTTGAGGTCAGCAAATCTTTTTTAAAGACATTTTTATTTTATATCACATTTTAAAGATCTTTACATGACTTGAAAACACTTTGTTATATATGTCCTATTAATGGGTATTTTATTTGTTGCTATTTAGCACATAAGAAAATTATTTCTGTCTTCAGTTGTTGATCCTGAAAATTGATATGAACTGATTTGAGCTTTAGATTTTGATATCAGTCCAAGAAGCAAACTGATGGATGGTTGGTTATTAGGAGTGCAGCACAAAATCCCCTTGAGGCATTTGCATGGGTTTATGGATTCTGCTATTGATGTTTCATACATTTAATTGCCAAGTGATAGTCTTGATAATGCTACTTACCTAACTGCAGAATAAGGCTAAAAAAGCCTTTCTGGAAGATTAGAGAGGGTTAGCATCATCTTCTGAACCCCAGCATTTATTCCAAAAGCAAAAACCCATTTATTTCAAATGTTGTGGCATGCATGGCATTGTAAAGGGGCTCCATGGAGCACTAAAAAAAAAAAAAGAGGAAATCCAGTTCTTGAGTTCTTGTCCTAGAACAGTTTCTACTGTAATTTGGAATTCTTATAGGTGCACATATAATGTTACAGATTAACAGAGAAGTTATTTAGCAGGATTAAATGAAAGTGCAAGCCTGTGAGAATCCTGGCTTCATGGTTGAGGAGGTAAGCAGTAGATGAGTAGGTGTGGTCTTCATGTCATCTGCTCTCCCAGACACAGCAAACAAAGATGCATATCCTGAATGTGTTTAGATCACAGTGCCATTTCTTCTAGCGGGGCTGCTGCCACAGTGCTGGGAGGATTCCCTTGCTCTGTGCTCCTTGTGCTGCCATGGCCAGACTTACTACGTGGTATGCTGAGAGCTCAGCTGTGCCTGTCTGCTGCATATGCTGTGAACTTGGAGTATTTGGCCTATCTCCTTCACTGCAGGACGACTTAAAGGTGCTCTGCAGATAGCGGGTGCTTACTCTGCAAGTCAATGAGTGAATGACCTAAGTGTGTAAACGCTAGGTGACCTCACTGAAGCTACCTTGTAGTGTAGAAGAACAAGTTCATTTGATTAGTCCACAGTTGGAATGTGGAGTTAAAAATAAGGACCTGCTGTGGGGCCAGCTAATAGGAAGGAAAATGGAGGTTAAGTGATGCGTTTGGGAAAACATTCTAATGAGGGAAGGAAAGATCTAACTTTTAGTTATTATATGAAGACTGTAAAGTTAAAAGTGATGATGACAAGCCAGAAGAAGAGATGAAAGAGAAATTCTGTTTGGAAAAGTATTTTCTCTAAATGAAGAGTCGTTGAGCTTTTTGTTGTTGTTACAATGAAAAAAAAAAAAATCTCCCTCCAATTAATTCATTACAATTATGTTTATAGACTAAGTTAAAATTTATGATCTTTTTATTACTCTTTATGACCAGCTCAAATTTTAGCTTTACATGAAAGTACTATAGGACATTTATCTTTTGTTCCATAATTAAATCTAGTTTATATATATGTATTTGCTTTAGGCTTTAACAGACTTCTGTGACTCATATGGTTTGGTTTGCAATAAACCAACAGTTTGGGTCCTCCACTACCTGAACACATCTGGTGCAAGCTGTGAGAGTAGAATTATTGGTGTCTATGCTACAAAAGCTGATGGGACAGATGCCATTGACAAGCAGCTGGGGGGAAGGATTCACAGCAAAAGTATCTTCAAAAGGTATGTTCAGATTTAAATGTGGAAAAGAACAATGTGAAGTCTTGGCATCTTTTAACCATTTTAAGAATTGTTATTGTATGAAATACCATGCTTGATGACAAGAAGCTGTGGGCTTGGCTCAGTACACAGAGCCCTCAGAGCTGCAGGGTGGCTGTTTCTGGAGTAGATGAGCATTATACCCTTTGCACAGAGACTTCAGCCCCAGGCCTTTTGCAGGATCAGGTACAGTGGTTCTCAGTGCACTGAGCCTCAAGTCCCATGTAGGCCTTTATAGAGGGAAGAGGAAGAAAAGTCACGTGCCCAATATCTCCTCTAACCACAGTGTGGGGCAAAAAGCTCGCGAAGGGTCACCAGGCCCACTGCGTGACCCAGAGCCAGACTGTGTCATACGCCTGCCCCTTTCAGGGTTAGGCTTCTATGACTTGGACATGTTGAATTCTTTACAAGTTGTCATCTAATTATGTCCCTGTAATATTATTTGTATTGGTAAAGTCACTTAACATATTTTCTATCTTCTCTATATTCCGTAGGTGAGTAAAGTGGATCACATATCCGTAGCCACATAAGCTTGCTTTTAGGTGACAGGAAATACTGTCATTTCTGAATGCTTCCAGGCAATAGTATTTCTGCATAAGACACCTGAGCACCTGTTTGATGCAAGAAAAATGGCATTAAAGGTGTATCTATTCTAATTAGAGGTAGCTGGGTTTTTTTTTTTTTGTTGTTGTTGTTGTTTTGTTTTTTGTTTTTTGCTGTTTTTTGTTGTTGTTGTTGTTGTTGCTGTTGTTTTTGAGACAAAGTCTCACTATATACCTTGGGTGGCCTGGAATGCAGGGATCCGCCTGCCTCATTTGCCTCCTAAGTGCTGGGATTAAAGGCTTGAGCCACTATGCCCAGATTTTCATGTTGTGGAATTGACAAATAACTGCCATGAAAAGGAGATCAAATTTATATTGGACTATGATGTGGTTTATGAGTGCACACCTAAGCTTAGATATTTTTTAAACTTGATTATCAATTATTTATTGAACATACATTAGCTGGATATAAATAGACACATTCATAAATAGTAGATTTTCATTACATTTTTTGCAATATTTCTAGAGAGGCAGGAAATAATGTTCAGTACATTTGGAGCTATTACTCAGTGGCCGAGTTGAAGAAAATGATGGATGCCTTTGATGCCTGGGAAGGAAAAGGTACAGTGCAGTTCTTTTGTTTCATGGACACCGGTGTGCTCTCTCTCTCTCTCTCTCTCTCTCTCTCTCTCTCTCTCTCTCTCTCTCCCTCTTCCCCCCCTTCCCAAGACAAGGTCTTCCACTGTAGCTCAGGCTGGCCTGGAGTAAACCTTACAGCTTAGTGCAGCTGGCCTGGGGCTTGGGGATATCCTCCTTCTCTGCCTCTCAAGTGCTGGGATTATAGATTTTTGTCACCATGCAATCAATCCCAAACACAAAGTGAGAGTAAATGCTGCAGTCTTGCTTTTTCTACATCCCTTGTCCTTCCATTCCTCTTGCTCCACCCACCCCCTCTCTCATTTATTTATTTATTTATTGATTGATTTTTTTTTTTTTTTGAGATAGGGTTTTCTGTATTGTTTTGGATCCTGTTCTGGAACTAGCTTTGTAGACCAGGCTGGCCTGGAACTCACAGAGATGCCTCTGCCTCTGCCTCCCAAGTGCTGGCATTAAAGGCCTGTACCACCCCCCAGCTCACCCCCTCTCTTTGTAGGACTACACTTTTTATTGTGTCAGATGTCTGTCACTATAAGGTGATATTGAGGCAGTTTGCTTTAAAGTCTTTTTCCCCATGCATAAATTGCTAGATGTTATTATCTACTTATAATTCAGTGACTTCAAGTATGGTTCGCTTAGTTGTGCTTACTTAATTAAATAAGAGTTTATTTAGACCTGTGGTGTAGCTGGCAGCACTCTAAGAAATATGCTGCTAATCTGAGCATAAGATGTAAGCAAGGTGGCTGGAGACGTGGCTTGGCAGGTAAAGGTGCTTTTTACCAAGCCAGATGACCCAAGTAAAATTCCTAGAAGCCACATGGTGGAAGGAGAGAACTAACCCTTGTAACTTATTCTCTGACCCCTGGTGTAGACTGTGCCATGTCCATGTACACAAAATAAATGTTTAAGAAAAGAGAGAACAAATGAACAAAGACTGGAATTGGTTGGACATGTGGCTCACTCCTGTATGCTCAGCACTAAGGAGGCTGAGGCAGGAGGCTCACTGAGTTCAAGGCTAGCCTGGACTATATAGTGAGTTTTAGAACAACCTAGTTTAGATAGCTAGACTATGTTTGAAAACAAATGGAAGTATTGGGGTGAAAATATACTAACAGATTCCTGGGTTTGGGATTAAGAGTGGTTTTGATTTTCTGTTTTGGGGCTTGGTTCAGGGGATCAAACCCAAGGGCTTCATGTTCACAACAAGCACTCTATCAACCCACCTATGTCCCCACCCTTGATTTTCATGTGTCTACTTTTCTAGATTTTCCAGGTTATGTACAACGAATGTGAATCACTTATAAGTAGGAAAGAGAGGATTATAGTTGAGTTTGGTAACTCCAGCCTGTCATCCCAGCACGGGGAGGCAAAGGCAGGAGACTTGCCAGCTGAGGCCAGCAGTCTCAGAACACCAGCTTTAAAGTAAGCCGCTTAAACTAGTCATAGTGACACATCCACAAAAGAGAACACTACTCAGCAGTAATCTACAGGCACACACCATGTTTATATAGCAGTGTGGATAAATCTTGATATAGTACATTAGAGAAACGAGACACAAATGTGGCTAATCTGGGACTCATTTATATGACATTCGGGAGAAGACAAAGCTAGCACTAGAATTCTGGGAAGCTCTGACTTGGAAGTGGTATGAGGAAACTTTTAGTCATCACACATAAATGACTTACATTTGTTCAGTAAATTTTATTTTATGTAAATTTTGTGACTTGAAAAGTCAGGCAAACTTAATGGACCAGGTTTAGGAATACTTTTGTAGCAGAATATATAAGTTTGAGAATAGTAGTCAAATAGTTTCAGTGTTGGCCTTAATGAGGGTCATTGAGTTCTTCAGTATTAGACATATCTGTTACATGTAAAATTTTATATGCCCAGCTTACTAAGAACTTTAACAATTAAAGAAGACACTGATCTCATTCTGGGGATCTGAGAGTATTACTGTAAAAAATATTGAAGATTATTCTTTAAGTATTTTTTTGTGTATTTAATTTTTATGTTTTTGATTGAAGTGAAGTCACATGATGTAGAATGAACGGGTTTAAAATGTATACGTATCCTGTATACGTATCCTGTATATGTATCCATGGCATTTGCTGCATGTAACATTTCATCAACATTTTCATCATCTCGGAAGGAACCCTCCATGGGCCCCTCTCCACATTCTCTTGCAGCCCCTCCCAACCCCAGTCCTTTTCTGTCAAAGTGGATTTACTTGTCCTGGATATTGCATATAAGTGGGATCATAAAATATGTGACCCTTGACATTGGACTTCTTTTACTTAGAGGCTCATAAGGATACATTTAAACTTTGACTCAGAAGCGTATCAGGTTATTCTTGTTATAAGGTTTGTTTCCTTTTTTATTTGTGTGTGTTCCCACATGTGTGCGAGTACCTGCAGAGGCCAGAAAGGGTCATCCGATTCCCCTGAAGCTAGAGTTCCAGGCATTTGTGAGCCCCTTGACATGGGTGCTGTGAACTTGCTACAGTCCCCTTCAAGAGCAGCAAGTGCTGTTTACTACTGAGCCATGTCTGGTAACCAGTGAGGCAGACACAGCAGTAGTGTACCCACCACTGCACACATCCTTTACCCCTTTAACCAACACTGCAACTGTCTGTAAAGCCCCGAGGGTTTTCAGAGTGCTTAACCTGTGCTAAGCATTTCATGTCTATTAACTTACACAGTGATCACGGCAGCCATGTGGGGCACATACTGTGATAATTAGGATGAGGAAATACCTTTCCCAAGGCCACAATAGAAAGTGACAGAGTGGGGTTTAGACACTGGGTCAGAGCTCTGTGCCCTTAACCAGCATACACTCAGTCACTTGAGCATACAGTGAGCCACTTTTTAGGCCAGACAACCATAGAGCCCTGGTTTGCAGCCAGCTCTTCTTGGACCCAGATCATGAGTTTTGTCACTCAGCCACTAGTGAGTACTTCCCGTCTGTGTTTTGCACACCTCCATTCATCACCTGAGAGGAACAAGATGCAGACAGCCCTTGAGCCGGTCTTAGATGACACATTGTTTACCCATGGCTCTTTTAATTATCTTTTTATCTTCAAGGTGTAAGCTACTGGCGTGTGCCGCATGAGCTGATAGAGTGTTGGACCCTGGAAGAACGGCCTCTACATGGAACCCTGCGTCACATGGCCCCAATCCGAAAGAGGTTATCCCTGATTCTATTTTGTTTTTAAATCTGTAATAGATAATGTTTTGTCGCCATCATAAAGGGGAAATGAGTAACTCTCCACTTTACTAAGCTTCTTAATCACCTACATGAATATTCTACATTATCAGTGAGCTAATCTCAATAAATAAAAGTTACCCAAACTATGAAAAAGTAGGGGGTTAGACTCTAGTGGGTGTGAGGTATGCTATTGTTAGGAGAAGGTGGCTGTCAGAACAGTGGTGGCAGTGAGAATGCTGTCCTCCCACGGAAGGGAAACCCACGATTTATTGGCAGTAGTAAAGAGTCTCTTTAGGCTTAGTACTTGAAATTCCCTGTGCCTTATTCTGAATCCTTTTTTTTTTTCCTGTTGACATAAATAGCATTTTCATATAGTAATATTTCTTATTAGCATTAATTCACTCCATGGCTGTGTGTTTAGGCATGTCTTAAGTGCATGTAAAATTGTATTTCTTTTTTAACGTCTCAGTTTTATCCATAGCATCAGGTGTTTTGGTTTCTTGATCACTTGTTCTGAATTTGATTCATAACTGGAATTTCAAATCTGCTTTCCTATTTTTGTCCTTTGGATTGTTCAAAGAAATGAGGAGAAGTTGATGCAGTTTTTAGTAATCATTTCTTTTGCAACATTTTTTTTTTTAAAGACACTGATTGTATTGTCATTATTTTGTCATTTGAACCAGCAGCAAATGCTGAGCCTAGAGCAATGACAGTTCCCTCCCTGAAACATTTAGCGATGTTTGGAGCTTTGGGTTGTGCTCCTTAGGAAGGTGGATGGATACTAGTGGCATCTTGTAGGTAGAGGCCGGGGATACTAGCACATATTCTACTGGCAGCTTCCCCATAAAAAGGGATTATTTTACTGAAATGGTGATTGTACCAAGGTGGAGAGACCTTGGTGTAGAGTCCAGTTACACAGACAGGAAACAAAGCAGGCAAGAATGGCTGGTGGTGACCTCCGTCTTTGTCACCGATCTTTTCTCTGGGGTTGTAGGAAGCATCATTTTTGATGTATAGATACGATAATGAAAATGATGTATAATTATGTTGGTAACATTTGAAAGTTGAGTATATTATATTAGCATTCTTTTCTGTGTATGGAAATTGTCATAGAACTAGATTATGATTCTGTCTCCAAGGACAAGTGTTCATGCTATCTTGCAGATGCTTCTAGCCCCCTGTAATACCGTGGAGACTTGCTGTTCCCCATGTGTTGAGAGTCTCAGGACAGGAATCAGGTGGAAAACTGTCAGTTTTAAGGTCAATCTTGACAGTGTTTTCCCTTTTTAGGCTGTTTATGAGTGGTCAGGACTCCTTGAGTAATTTGTTCAATACTTTTCATATTCCCAAATATCTAACTTTAGAATGAACTTGACTGTTCTAGCAGGACCCCAAACGTGTCTCATGGCATGCAGAGTTTAGGGGCTCTCAGGGCAATGGTGACTGGTGAATAAATCATAGCAGTTAAACAGGCGCCTTTCCTGAACCCTCCAGGCCTTTCTGTGTCAGCAGGGATCTTCCAGCTCAAGTTGGAGAGTAGCATTTAAGCATTTATTTGGCTGTGAATCTCCTTTTCTTGTCAGTAAGCTTGTGAATTCTGCAGTTTTGGGAGAAAGCACTGAATATTCTTGATTATTCTGTGGAGCACAGCAGAGCGCTTGGGGACACAGTGATATGTAGTCTAATTCTTACCCAACATTCCAGACCCTCACTGGTTGAATTGTGTATGATTTTAAGATACAGTTTTTAAAGCCATTGAGCCAGTCTCTAGTAAACATGTTACTTTTCGGTTGACCTTGGTGGGGATGTGCAAGGAGGTGAGTTGCTGTCTATAACACTATCTATAAATGTACTGCCGCTTTTTGTTAATCGAATGTGAACTTTGGAGACCTGTTCTTTAGTGGCTCCCCAAAGTGCAAGTGCTGAAATAGGGGTGCTCTTGTGTTTCCAGGCGGCTGCTAACTCTCAGTGAAGAGGACGAAGGTGTGAACTGTAGGGCTGGCCCTAAGCCCGTCAGATTTTTGGGCCCTTCTACAAGCACCCAAATTAAAGTCAAGAACTCAGCTTCTGTGAGAGCATCACCTGTCAATGCTGCCCAGATCTCCTCTCAGGCTACTGCAAACCGGTCTCAAAGAGGCAGCTATGGGAAGGCAGCCCAGTGCTCTGTGGCCACAGGGGCATCTGGGCATGCTCCTGCTTCCCCTCATGCCCAGAATGCTGAGAACCAAGCCACACAGCCACCGCCAGCCAAGGTGCTCCTCTCTGACAAGAAGTCTCCGTCCAACCGAGTGATCAAGCTGAGGAGGACTCCACTGTGTATGGGGCCTTCCCTGCCCACCCCTTCAGCAGGGAGCCAGGCCGGCTCCCCTCAGAAGCCTTCTCTAGAGGTTTCCATCACTTCAGGTGTGCGGACTGAGACCAGGGAGGACCAGCCTGATGGATAAAGTGGACTGGAAACTGCCTGTCTGTCCTGCAGCTTCCAGTGCACTGATTCCGACAAGTGAGCTCTGTTCTTGCCGGCAGAAGGGAGAACCCATGTGGAGGTTTAGGATGATTACAGGAAAAGTGAGTTCTGTGGTGCGGGAGTAGAGCAGGAGGCTTGGTGGTACGGTTATTATTTACTTTGTGTTTTCCTAAGGTTGTCTATATGCAGTTTTTCATTTCAAACTTTATTTAAATGGTTAATTGATATCAAGGTGACCAAGCAGTAATCCCTAGAGACATCTCTTTTTTTGCAGTAATATTAGAGTCACCTGGCCCTTTTGTAATGTTACTCCTGTAGTCCAGGGGTAGGAGTGAGGCCTGGCATAGGTTCCTGTCAGATGAAGGGTGGGGGGGGCAGTTGTGGCCACACTGTATGGTGGCCTGGAGAGTCTCAGAGGGAATGTCAGCATCCACAAGCTGCTCATAGTTGCTTATTCTCCAAAGACAACATGAAAAGGAACAGTGGGAAAGGGAAAGAATATAAGTAAAGACCAGACTTGGACTCTCACTTGATTGGACATTTCTTTCCTAGATTGGCTCCTCACTTAGATCCATTAGCTGATGTGTCTTCACACACCACAGAGGGTGTGTGATGGGCGTGCACGTGCTAAGAGCTGTAGAATGCATTTTGGAATGGTTTTGGAATGGTTCAAATTGGTGTTTTAATTGAATAGTGAAGTTTTGAAGTACTTTCAAAGAGAGAAGTTAAATAAGTTTAACTTTTTTTTTTAACTCAAGTTAATTTGTTCTTAGAAGTGACCATTGAAGAGTCCTTCTGATTATACACTAGGTTTTATGCATACAATTTCCACATAACTTGAATTTCATATTTTTAAACAAAATATTTTGATTAATCCTCTATTTTTTCATGACCATTGAATTGTATGTGCTTACTCTTACATGTTATGTTTGGTAACTGGATCATCCATTTCTACTTTTCATGAGCACTGGGCTTCAGTGTTTTAAAGATGGTTCATTCAGCTGTGTGCTCCTTACTCGGATTCTGGACATGCACTTGCATGAGTGAGACAGGTATATTCGTGGTGTTTCCTTTCAAATAAATAAAGCATTTCCACAAAAATAGGACACTTTCTGTGACTACTTATTTAAACTTGACACCCTACAATAGTTTGAGAGCTTACTAATTTGTAGTAGGGTTTCTATTCTTGTTTCCAAAATTACTTTCTTGTCTTGCTACTCCATGAAATGATAAAACCAACTTTGAATAAATATCTCTTGGTACCTTTCTAAGAAGGTAGTTTAGCTGAGTATAAAGGTTTTTTTATTGAAGTTCCATAATGACATCCTGGAGTATATAAACTATTTAGTCACCTTTAAAATCAATGCTATTTTAGAGAACTCAAGACAACTTGAAAATTAAAAATGAGTGAATTCTTGAGACTTCCAATTTGGACATTACACTTATTCCTTGATCTAGGATGTTCTGCATTGCTAATTCATGTACAAGAAAAATTTACTGATGCACATAAAATGAGTTTTGTACCTCATGGCCTAGAAAGGAAATGTTTGAAGATGCATCATGGATAATTCAGTCAACAGCCTTCTTTTATGACAACAAATAATTTAGAGGAAATCACTGCATACAACACATTTAGTCTTTGTAAAAATACATTTGGGCCATGCGCTGAATAATTCATTAGACAGACAGGAGAGATTGGCACAGTAGGTAGGTTCTTGCCACCACCAAGCCTGCTAACCTCTCATTAACCCACATGGTAGAAGGAGAGAACCAACTCCCACAGGTTGTTCTTTGACCTCTACACAGGCCATGGTGTGGGTGTCATTCCCCCACTCTCCACTATTTGAAAAGTAAATAAATGTAGTGAAAGAAAGCCTTTGGAGCTGACCCTGGGTGGCAGGGTAGGGTGGGGTAGATACTCTTTCATGAATCTGAGCAGTTAAAGGCCAAGTTCAGAATGCTCCACTATCAGAGTATTACTTGAGTGCAGTTCCTTGGATGTTGCCTTTGCCTTTGGTGGAGGGGGGGGTGGTTAAAAACATTTTATTTATTTCTTTGTCTTTCAAACACTCTTTATTTGAGACTCCAACAAGACTAGGTAATTTGCCAGAAATTAGTGCATTTCCTGGATAGGAAGAAGGAAAAAATTGAAATGGAAAAAAAATGTATAAATAGTTTGAAAAGTTTCCTGTGTCTGGGTCAGGAGACAGCAGTTTACAGTAGTTAGATATGTGGGCATTATTCATCTGAAGAAAAAGTGCACATCCAGTAATCTTTGTTGAAAACTGGTTTGTCTTGGTCAAATCTGGTTAGTTGTGAAACAGAGAGCTAAAGACTGACCTACTAATAGATTTATTTTGGTTGTGTTGCCATATAGTCTAGATAACAAAGTATTTCCATGTGTTTTGTTTATGGCTTTTTAGTTTTAGAACATCATCATCAGGTAGTATTTTCTAGTTCTTAAAGATCAAGAAAATAAGATTGAGAAAAGTTAATACTGTACCATAATGATCACGTCCAATCATCCCAGCCCCGTAGTCTATCTGCCCAGTGATGACAAGTTAGAGGGAAGAAATAGGTGTAAAGCTTAAGAATTTGCTTAATACCGGGGAAGTTCTTTTTAGTAGGACTATACTGAAGCATTGAATTGTGCATTTGTCTCTCATGAGACCCACTTGGTCTCTTATGTAGTTGTAGGTGTGTGGTACACAGGAGGGGTACAGGTACCTCCTGTCCTAAGTCCATGAAGCATCATCAGTATTTGAGTTTATAAGTCCTTACCAAAGAAAGCCAATACTTGTGGTGGAAACTGACTTGTAAATCCTTAGTATTGTGTTCATGAAGCTTGAGTAGGTAACAACTAAGCACATACACTACACCACCCAATTCACTGGAAAAATAATCTAACAACACAGAAATGCCACCAGTGGAAGTTTTAGGGGTCTATATTCCTAGAGACTGCCTGCAGCCCTCCAGGGCAGTTGGGGGGCTCCACATCCTAGCCCCCTCCTAACCCTGGTCCTCTGCCACAGTGAATAGAACCCCTATCATGCTGCCAGGCTAGGCCATGATACAACAGTCATTGGTGACCAGAGGCAACCTGAAACTTTCTATTCCACTTCTGCCATTTGCCAACCATGTGACATGGTTGAGCCTCCATTTCCTCATCTGTGAAAGGAGTTGGGGGAGTAGTTGTTGGTTGTGTGCACACCTCTCGTGGGGACACTGGGAACATGAAACCAAATTGGACCCTGGGAAGGCGCTTTAGTTGAGGGAGAGTGGCATTGCCCCAATCTGATGAGAAGCCATCAGTCCTCTGAGGGCGTTTGCGGTTACGTATTGTGACACCGACATGGAGAACCAGCAGGTTCCAGCTTGTCTCTGAGCTTCTCCATGACACCTCCAGCTCCTCCTCCTGATTCCTGAAGCCACAGCCCACAACAGCCCCAAGCTCACCTTCAGATTCTGTGTGGCATTTGCGTGTAGTCCGAACTTGCATAGGTCGCAGACCCTCCAACGTGTTCTCATGCCTTCTCACGACAAGCTAGCCCACAATATAGCAGTGGGATGTTTAGAGAAATGTTTGTTGAGTGCATAGGTGAGACTGAAGTCAGCTAGGGGTCATTGAAGGAGCTTCAAAGACCAGAGTCTAGGGCTCTGCCAACAAGCAGTTATGGCACACTGAAACCTGCTCATATGTTGCTCAGTCTTTTGTACACTTTAAACAACTCATGAAAGTACTTTAAGCAGTAATGTAAGGCTGAAGTGTATCTCAGTGGTTCAGTACACATCTACTATCCTCAAGGCCCCATGTTCAAATCCCAGCACTTCCCCTGATAAAGAAAAGCCTTTAGTCCCTGACACTGTGCACACTGCTCAGAGCCATACGTCCCTCTCCTAGAGTACTTACCTGAACATTGCAGCTGCTGTATCCATTCGGTATGGTTGGGCTCATCATGGACTGAGATGAACACAGCTAAGGCTTTGACTCTCGAACCTTGTCACAGGATGGATAAAGGAAAAGGTCACGAAGGAACCTTATTATTCATGAAACAGAAAACAAGGCCACCGAAGAGGCCAGCAGGAGGCTTTGGGAGAGCAGACTATTGGGTTGAACCAAAATGAATTTGCCTACTTCCTACCTTTTTGACTGGGAAAACACTAATGTTCTGCAGTTCATCCCAAATGTGGCTTAGCTGCTTTGGCCTGGGTTGGGGGCAGAGGTCAAAGGTCACAGAAGAGGGGAGTCTCAGGAAATCAGTTCCTAGTCCTGCCTTACCCTGCGTTACCCCTGCACACTCCCAATTCATGGTATTCCACCCTCCTACCCTCACCCCTGCCACAGTTCCTGCAAGACAACCTTGCATTTCTAAGGCCTTTTGTTGAGTGGAGCTTAGGTTAGTGGGCTACGCGGTGGCTCTAGTATTTAACTGTCCTTCAGTGTCTGGAGACTCTAAAAACAATAGTGTTATACAGGCAGAAAATTAGATGTGATGTCTTGATGGTAACAGGTGTAAGGAAACACTGTCCCCTCAAATTGACAGAGGCCACAGCTTCTACAAACTGTCCAGAGCTCAAGGCCTGCCTGAAACATGGCTGTTGGCCACCTGTGTGATAAGTGTGATAAGTGTGTAGGGTAGCCTCACACATTCCCCATCATGAGCCTTGGCCACTGACCTCATGTTATGGACAGTAGAGGATAAACATTTCAAATCTGGACTTAGAAATTGGTTCAGTCTTGCTTTTTATCATGTGAAAGCCAGAATATTCCAAAACAAACAAACAAACAAACAAAACAGAACAACACAAAAAAAAAGAACTACCGAGAAGGCTCATTTGTGGGCAAGCCTGACAAGAGGTCTGTCTCCACAGAGCCGTCTGCCCACATGGAAGAATTGCTGTGGGTGTGGTTGTCACCAATGCAGATGTCACCAGCTGCAGTGTCTGATGCTGAGCAGGGTGGGCAGCTGGGACACAGGTCAGCAACACCCACTCCCACCCCCCACAGCCCCATGCACGTCTGGTTAGGAGTTAGTGGCATGCAGCTTAGAGGGAGATACCGTAAGATACTGACCCCCCCCCCACTCCCTTTAAGACAGGGTTTCTCTGTGTATCCCTGGCTGTCTTGGAACTTGCTGTGTAGACCAGGCTGGCCTTGAACTCACAGAGATCCACCTGCCTCTGCCTCCAGAGTGCTGGGATTAAAGGTGTGCATAACCACTGAACATCTGATACCGATTCTTCAGAGAATGAGGCAGGAGGATGGCCATGAGTTTGAGGCCAGCCTGAACTACATAGTACATTCTAGGCCAAAGTGAGCAACAGAGTGAGACACTATCCTAAAAGAACAGAACAGGGGCTTGGGGAGGTGACTTTATGGTTAAGAGCACTGGATGCTCTTACAGAGGACCCGATTTGGTTCCCAGTACCCACTTGTCAGCTCACAACAATCTGTAACTCCAGTTTCAGGGAACCCCATGCTCCCTTCTGACATCTGTGAGAACTGCATACATGTGGCATAGTACATATAACCACACATAGTATAATACATAACAACCACACATGGTGTAGTACATACAACCACAGATGATAAAATATATTCAACTACCCATGGTATTATACATATAACCATGAGGTATATCATACATATAACCACACATGGTATCATACATACAACCACACATGGTATAATACATAAAACACACATGATATAGTACATGCAACCATACATGGTATCATACATATAATCACACATGGTATCATACATACAACCACACATGGCATCATACATATAACAAGGTATACACTAATGTGATGGGAGATGTCATTCTGTAAATATGTTTCTTGTATTGGTTAATGAATAAAGCATTGTTGCCTATAGGAAAGCAAGATAGACAGGACTAGGACACTAGGAGGAAGTAGGGGGGAGATTCAACATAGAGGATGGAGAGAGTAGAACCCTGGGCCCTCTCTCAGGTAAGATGAGACCACATGGAAATAGTTATATTCATAGAAATGGGTTAATATTTAAGGCAGAGCTAGCCAATAAAAAACACTAGTAACTGGCCAAC